TGCTGAACACAGGCCTCTCCAACTGATGTCCAGTGCGGCCGGTCCGTTGCCACCTGTATCCAACATGACCCAGCGATTTTCACCAGGTCGTCGGTCAATCTGGTAGGTGGGCGTCGCACACTGCGTATGTCAAAATTAATGATTTTATTTGACTTCGAATATACGAAATAAGAACTAATACAGTCCGACGTCGACTCGGAATTGATCCTGACTTCAGTAGCAGAATAATCGCGGAACAACGTGTGTTGATGATAACTAAAAAATAACTGATAATGGTTTTTATTGATCAAATAGTCATAATGATGGATAAACTAAATTTTCACCCACCGATCGAAATTCGACCATAAGCATTGACACCTCAAGATTTAAATTCATCTGATATCGTATACTAAAATAAATGAAAAGCGGTTGAGTGACAGAGGGGAAAATATTGACGAACTGTTTTATTTTTCCCTATAAATAAATTGAAGATTGATTACACGAAGCAACCATGCATTAAAATTTGAAGGGTAGCGTGACCTCCAGTATCACTGAGACTACATCCTAAAATTTACAGTACTTTGATGGATTTGAGGTCACGTTGTGAGTCGGGTAGGATAGGGTAGATTCAGGATGACACTGGTCTATTAGTTCTTCTGCTCCTCTATACTAATAAATTCAAAAAGACCAGCAATGTAGTGGCTTGAAATTCTCTGTCGGTTTGTCCTTTACCTTTAGCGATCCCAATTCATTAGCAAGACCTAATTAATGAATGGGTCTCATGAAAAGGAATTTAACCTAAAACAATATTAAATTAGGATTGTCCTGGGGTTGTTTTATTTGAATTTCACGTTTTAACTTTACCCTAAGATGTTATTAGTCAACCGTTTTCGTTACTAAGCCGTCCTTAGTTATTTGAGAATAATTTTATGTTTAGCTGGTTAAATTTCGATGACAAGGCGTGCTCAAAGGACATCTTGAACTCACGGACGATGAACAAAACGATCTCGAAGTACATGTGACTTGCTATACTGCTGCCTACACCATTAGGTCGGATTTCACCAGTACTCTCTCAAACATAAAAAAGGTCGGATAAAATTTTTCTAACAACGCAGACTGCTATAGATTTGTTAGAACATATTATTATATTTATATTTTAAACACCGCCTTCATATTAGATTATAACTTTACGGCGTGCACTTAAATTTGTGTTTCTTTAAATTGCGGTCATATTGATGGGCTTGTCGTGCTCACGGCTTCTCTGGACTTAAGGAACGAATTTGCTGGTGACGGACGCCGGTGGTGGACACCTTGTGAGTCCGCACCGGTAGGTACCATCATCCTACCTATTTCGGCCGTGAAGTAGAGTGGACCAGGCGTTGTACTGTAAACACTGAGACCTCAGAAGTCATGTCTTGAGGTGAATGGCGGCATTTGCGTAGATGTCTATGAGTTCTAGTAACCACTTAGCACCCGGCGGGCCGTGAGCTCGTCCACCGCTCTAAGCAATAAAAAAAGCTCACTACCGCCAGCCCACTCTTACCACGTGTAAATCCCAATTGGCACTAATCTGGCTTAATACCCAGAGAATGCCGCTTCCATTCTCCGGTAAATCCCTTGGTGTGCGATGTGATTGGGTGGTGCTATCCCAAGCCAATACCATAAAACTAAATTTATCGTTTGGTAACTATGTTATATTACATCGATATTCAAACTCTAATCGAATCGACAGGCTCTTGATCAGTTAGTAGGCCTTTCTCCATTTATATCTCGTTTACATTACGTGGTATATCAATTGTATTTTTCAATATTGAGCTAGCTATCCATGTAATCAATCAGCGATCTAGACAAATACTCTGCAAGTTCCACAAGCGTGCAGTAATAAACAACTATCACATCTCATTAATATTCGTTTAAATGCAATTGTTTATCGAGTTGTAACGTTGCCAACTTACAAGTTCACTACACTCCGATGATATCGTACGTGAATCAGCAGTTACGCGCTACTATGGATTATCGGACATGCGAAAATAACATGTTATTGCATTTGTGGAATTATGAAAGAGTACTTATTTTAGGTAACGATTTCGTTCTGGCGTTGCTGTTTACGCGAATCGCAATGGTAAAACAATTGTCGAATGAAGATAAAAGTTAAAATCAAAGTATGAAGGTCGTTTTCAATTGTTTTTTTTTTATTGCTTAGATGGGTGGACGAGCTCACGGCCCACCTGTTGTTAAGTGGTTACTGGAGCCCATAGATATCTACAACGCAAATTCCGTCACCCGCCTTGAGATATAAGTTCTAAGTTCTCAGTTACAACGGATGCCCCACCTTTCAAGCCGAAACGCATTACTGCTTCACGTCAGAAATAAGCAGGGCGGTGGTACTCACAAGAGGTCCTACCACCAGTAACAAGTTTCGCCAGTTTCGGTGCCATAAATGCTATTCAGTTTGTAGCATTTAGCGTTTTGTTATACCTAATGAATATCAACGGGAATACATTGACTCACCCCGAAATCCTTCTACCATTCCTAATTTCAGTATTAATACTAACATTAGAACACATAATATTTCATAAATTTATAAGACATAATACATAAGAATTAAAGATTTGTAGCTTGTTGGAACTATTCCTTATGTTATTACTACCTTACTATTATTATATAGGTACTTATAAATTAAAAGAGCAGGAAATTATTTTATTCGGAGTTACATGGCCTGGCTTATGCTCTCTGAGAGTATGTAAACACGCATTTTTGGGCAAGAATGACGTCATTTTGTTAGGTCCAAACTCTTGAAAATCTCTAAAAGGACGCGTAGTTTTATTTAAATTTAAAAGCAAACAAAATCGCCCGACACAAGGAGTATTCGATAAAAATAATAACGTTTTTTTTGGGTTTTTGTTTAATCCAATTTTGTATGTGAAATGTGATGATCCGCATTAATTGGCAAGAGAAAGTTCTCGCTCCATTTTTCGCAACGTGGGCGGACGTTTTGTAAATACCTCTTTTTTGTTCAAAGTAATCGTACACATTAATTGCATTTAAGAAGTGATTTCAGTGAGTTATTATTAAGTAACAACTCGCCTTAATGGTGATTCAGTGTTCCTGTTCTTTTTAAGTACCGTCAGCACAAACGTATTTTTTATTTATTTTGTTTCATTGCTTAGGTGGGTGGACGAGCTCACAGTCCACCTGGTGTTAAGTGGTTACTGGAGCCCATAGACATCTACAACGTAAATGTGCCACCCACTTTGAGACATAAGTTCTAAGGTCTCAAGTATAGTTACAATTCATTAGTATAGTTCAATTGTCATTGGTAAAAAAATGTCAATAATGGTTTGTATTTGAAAAAAAATTCACAAAAGTTTAAAACTTGTTCGTATATTTTTGTACGAAATTGTAGTAACAGAATCTTGTACATTATTTTAGTAATTCATATTACATAACAATAAATTTTAAATTCATTCACTCGTTATATCATCGATACATTCCACACTTAGCAAAAATATCACTGAGAAATTATATTTAAATCATACTTGATCATCATTTGCAAACAATTTATAATGTATATCTATTATTATTATCTACAAAACTAAGAAGACAAGGTCAAAAGATCTTATACATATCCGAATTATTTATTTATTTATCGCTTCCCAACTTTGAATTTATACTTAATCTAAATTATCGACAAATTCGACGAAGACGGTGACCGGTGCTTGAAGAGCCCTCACGTCATTACGGATCCGCCCGATCGATTAATGGTGCTTTTAGGTACCACAAACACCGGTCACCGTCCTCGTCGAACCCGTCGCTTGCAACGAAGGGCTCGACGAGTGAATTAACCCGTGGACACAGCCCACTGAGTTTCTCGCCGAATCTTCTCAGTGAGTCGCGTTTCCGGTCCGATGGTAGATTCTGCGAAGCACTGCTCTTGCTAGGGCCTTGTTAGCATCACTCCAGTTTGAGCCCCGTGAGCTCACTTACGGGTCAAGGAGAAGCTGAAATAGCCTCTCAAGGCTATCAGCATAGGTAGGAAAAAAAGAAGAGCCTAAAAGCACCGAGAATTGATCCGGGGGTCCGACAAGACATGTTTCGGACGATGGCGGCTTTGCGTTGCCCCATTGCCCGGGTCGAATATTAAACTTATACACTGAAAGTTATTCCTGCATCAAACGACAACTGTTATTACGATTTAGTGAAAATTAGGGTACTTGTTTAGCGCAGTCTGTCGATTCTTAATATATATTTTTTTGCTGAGTTGGTTGGACGAGCTCACAGCCCACCTGATGTTAAGTGGTTACTGGAGCCCATAGACATTTACAACGTAGACGCGCCACCCATCTTGAGATACAAGTTCTAAGGTCTCAGTATAGTTACAACGGCTGCCCCACCCTTCAAACCGAAACGCATTACTGCTTCACGGCAGAAATAGGCAGAGCGGTGGTACCTACCCGCGCGGACTCACAACAGTGGTTACTGGAGCCCATAGACATCTACAACGTAAATGCGTCACCCACCTTGAGATATAAGTTCTAAGGTCTCAGTATAGTTACAGCGGCTGCCCCACCCTTAAAACCGAAACGCGTTACTGCTTCCCGGCAGAAATAGGCAGGAAGGTGATACCTACTCGTGCGGACTCACAAGAGGTCCTACCACCGGTAAAATACTAAACAGGGTACATGTAAAAGTGGATAGAATAATATTTTTTTAAAGAAATAGTGTTTTTTTACTTGACGGTATGTTATTATTCATTTCAGAGTACAAGATATTATCTCAACTTATAGGAAATATTCTTTCCTTTTGAAAGCAGAAGGCATGACTCATGCTCATGTTTGATCCTCTATCGGCATAGCATTACTGATGTAGTAATCATCATTCAATCATTCATCATCATCAACAGCCCACAGTCGTCCACTGCTGGACATAAGCCTCTCCCAAACCACACCACTGAGCCCGGCCTACGGCTCTCCTCATCCACTTCTTATTCATTACTACATACTTTTCTTTATCTTTAACAGGTGTCTCCCACAATCGGTCACACGTTTTGTTCCGTTTGGGTCGTCGGGTTTCGCCTCAAGTGCGCCAGTTTGCGGAGACCGGACGATCGGACGCGCTAGGCTCCGGTCCGGGGACTTTAGACGTGTTCGGCGCGCCGCCGGTCAGTCAGGGCGCCGGACGCACTGAAGCCCAGTTCTTTGTCGACGGGAATCATTCTAGGGTGAGTACTTTCCGCCCACGGTGTATCTCCCGAAATGACGTCCTTCGGGATTTTCCCGAAGATGAAATCCCGTCTTATCATCAGGACGGGTACCGGCGAAGGCAGACTTTCGGCGTGCACTGCGGTACCGTATGTCTGGTATAGCCGGTGTGGTGGAGCTCGATGGGGTTAGTCGGTAGTCGTTCTGCGGAGCAAGTGCTTCGCGCGCCTTTTTCAAGGCGTAGTCTCTTGAATTTGGGGAGGTGGAGGACCTTCTCGTCCCCCTCTTCCTCTCAGGAGGCGCCGGAGTCCGACATAACCCGGTTCGTTACCCCCCCGGACCGGGTATCCGTAAATGGATTCCCCAGCGTTAAAAAAAAAAAAAAAAAAAAAAAAAAAAAAAAAAAAAAAAAAAAAAAAAAAAAAAAAAAAAAAAAAAAAAAAAAAAAAAAAAAAAAAAAAAAAAAAAAAAAAAAAAAAAAAAAAAAAAAAAAGGGTGAGTACTTTATTATGATTTTAGAGTATGTTGTAGCTTTCTGGTGCTGGAATTCTTCGGACATATTGCTCGTAAAAAGGGTCACAATCTAGAACAGCTGATGGTGACAGGAAAGGTAGATGGCAAACGTCCCAGAGGACGCAATCCCACGAGATGGGATCCAGCTTTGGAATGAACAACCCCTCCACGGTGTTTTCCGAGCGCTATGACATGTCCTTCTTCAAACGAGGCTTGCGGAGAGTACTTAATGGTAGGCAGCGGCTGGGCTCTGCCCCTGGCATAACTGACGTCCATTGAGCGACGGTGACCACTTACCATCAGGTGGGCCGTATGCTCGTCTGCCTACAAAGGCAATAAAAAAAAAAGATGATCGGACCAAATACGATCTTCTCTAAACATCAACTTCCACAATGCCCTTCATGAAGCTAAGAATCGCAGCAGATGGAGGGAAATCGTACAGGAGAAACTGATGCGGGGGAGTCACGACCCTCAGTAATGAGGGAAACGACGCGAGGAGGAGGAGGAGCTTTCTGGTTGGTGTTGTAGTCGGGTTCATTCGTGCTGCGTCTAATAGCAACTTGTCTACTGCTCTAATACTAAAATACTACCAAGTATTAACTACTTTTTATTATTATTGAATTGTGCTCTATTTACGGTATTTGGGAAACACGATCTTTATCCAATAGATGTATTTGCTTTACAATGCGGCTTCGCGATATATGAATGTAGAAGAAAAATAACGTTGGAATAAAACTTATGAATTTGCTAATTACATCGCTTCAGTATATAGAATGTCATTTACATCCTTTTTTTTTAACGAGAAAATCATAAACGATTGTAATTTTTTTTTTTAAATCTGTCGGGAATGACTCAAATCTGGACATAAACAATTATGCCGCTCCATATCTTCCATACTATAAACAAAGTTAACCAGTACAAAACCCTTTTGAGCTGCGGGGCTCAAACCAAGAGTGTTGCTAAAACTGGCCCTAGCTAGAGCAGTGCTTCGCAGAATCTACCACCGGATCGGAAACGCGACCCACTGAGAAGATCCGGCGAGAAACTCAGTGGGCCGTGTCTGTGGGTTAATTCACTCGTCGAGCACCGACGACGATGAACTAAAAAAAAATACCTCGTATAAATGCGCAATAACTCGTTTCTGCGCGACAAATAAACATCGGTAAATAAATCGGAACAACGGTATAGCCGATAAATTCGGAAATCAAATATCCGAAAAAATTCGTGACATCATTCATTGTCGGAATCGCGTCACGCACAATACTTCACGATCGTAAACGTCACCGAAAAATTATCGCGTTTCCATCTCTAATTACCTAATATTTCGCACCGGAAACGTCAAAGTCCGCCTTCAATACGAAGCCAATCGAAACGTTCGTTATCTGATTTTGAATTGTTTATTTTATTGGCAGTTAGGACTAATTCCGGGAGCGCGGCATTCACGTCACTTTTTATGTCGATAGATTAATGGCTTCACCCCAATTGGGTTAAGCGAAAAACAATTGGAACGATTACGGCTAACTGTTTCGTGGTTTTACAACTATCGGCCGGGAATTTTGTGTGCGTGAAATATTAGAGATTTTGGAACGAAGTTCCTTATGGGACAATGGGGAGGGGTACCCTAACCGGGATAAAAGGTCTGTAACGTAAGATTTTTAGTAATGCACACAGTGTACGACTTAACTTTGTAATAACGTACAAAAAATTACATATTTTTTTATCATTCATTGACCACGATCTCAGAGCATTCATTTGCGCAACACTAACTCTTATGCAAACAACCGTGAATGAGGTGTACCACAATAAGTTCGCACGTTACCGAATGACCGTGGGTTGTTGCAAAACTTCCAGTTTTATTTTCTTTATACCTCGAATAGAACTTAAAATTTATATTTTTATAATAAGGAACTTCGTTCCTATCCGGTGTCCTACGACACCATACATATTTTTTTGTGTGGCTCGATTGTAGTATTCTTTTGTATCCTAGATATGATTGATGATTAATTATCCCATAAAACTCTTCTATCTCATAGCTGAGATTAATAAAAAATATAATTAAAATCGCCTCAACGATAACGATGTTGTTGGCGTTTTAATTTAAGGTAAAACGCGCGCGTAAAATAACCAATATCTATTTCATAAACAAACATTTGCGGCCTAAAAAAGGGATAGAGTATACTCACCTAGTCTCCATCATAGAACTTTAAATGCTTATCTTCTTTTTCTCCACCTTATCCCACTAGGTGGGGTCGGCACAGCTAATTTTTCTCTTCCATTCTCTTCTATCAGCCGTCATCTCAACACTCACTCCTCTATCTCTCATATCGTCATTCACACACTCCATCCATGTCTTCTTCGGTCGACCTTTTTTCCCCTCTACCTTGCACTATCATTTCCATACATCTCCTAGTCACATGTATCTTCTCTTTACGCCTTACATGTCCGTACTACGCTAACCGTCCGCTCTTTAATTTGTTGATTACCGGGGCTACTTTCACACTTCCTCTTTAAGCGCTTATGTTATATAAAAAAGTATTAGCTTGTCTCAGTAATTCATTTAGTATGCCATATATAAATAATATATTGAATTATATTCTTTAGATACACAAAAGCCTTTCGATTATAGCTAAAACAAGATCAATAAATTACCCAAATCGCGGTAGGGCGATGACGAAACAGCAGTGCGGATAGTAGCAGTCTAAGGCCTCTTTATTTTGTTTTGTTTCTATAACTGATTAGACCAGGTAGCCCTAACATCGCTTGGACGTATTTAATAACAAAATTAAATAGATAATCCTCCTTAATAATAAAAAAACTGAAGTCAAATAATGAAACTTCCTACGGCGAAATTATCATTAAACAAAAACGAGCCGTAAAAAAACGTGCCGTAAAATCGAATTTAATAAAACATGGTCATAATTAAGTTTCTTAGGCGGTGTTCGGATATAAAAATGCTCGTTAAGGAAACCTTTGACGACCGTAATAATTATTAATCAAGTAATAAAATCTTGAAAATGTTTTTCTGACGAAAAATAAATTAGTGTTTTTTTTTTTTTCGTTACTCATTTCAATCTCTGTTTTACATTTTACTGGCATTCAAATTAGAATAAGTAGGTAATGGACAGAAATAAAAAATGCCTTTTGAGCATAGCATTCGAAGAGTAAAAATTTATTCAGCAGAAAAAAACCCGGATGAGCTTAAATCTCTGTTTTAGCGCATAGGCAAATACGAATAGTCGTTATGCTTGCTACTGTCTACAAACAATGCCAATCCATAGAACGAGGCACGACTAGATACGTAGTGACGTCAGGCCGGGCGTGCTGGTGACGCGTTAATTACTTAGCCTTTTGAGCTAGACATGTGCCTGCCGCACGCTGCATGACCTGTTACTTCAGGATCGTGTATATACAATGTGTAGGAAACGAGATTTTGCTCTGCAGTAATTAAAATAAGCTACCCTAACTTATTTTAATTACTGCCGCGTACTTGTTGATCATTATATTAAGTAGTTTTTAAATATTTCTAACATTCTTGATTTGGAAATAAGTTCGTATCCATTTTATTGAGTTCTAGGGATTACTTTTACCATATTAAGTAGAGATCATATTAGGAGAGCTTTTTTTTCCCTATCAATTCTGGTGATGTCTAGGGGTCACACTAGATTCACCAAATATGTAGATGAGCTCAGGGGGCTCTAACCTGTTGACGTTGTTAACACTAGCCCTAGCAAGAGCAGTGCTTCGCAGAATCTACCACCGGATCGGAAACGCGGCCCACTGAGAAGATCCGGCGAATAACTCATTGGGCTATATGACAACGTGTACGCCTGCTTGCTATGTCGAGATCTCGATTATATTGTATTGAGCATAACGGCTGTCGGAATTGGACTTGTATTTTGCGACAGAAATAAGCAGGATTGAAACACCAATAGAAAAAATTATATTTTTTTGCGAATTTCATTTCACGACACGATGTTTTATTGTGTCCCTTCTGACATGCCTTTGGTACGTACGTACCAAAACGGTCAATACAAATTTTGAGTCTACTTGCAAGATTTGAAACCTGAATAAGTCGCGCCATACAGTAGCAATAGTCGCGTGTCGTACTCATTAAAACAGAACAACCCTTGAAGTTCAATACGATTTTGTATCTTGTTTATAGTATCTTTGGCAATATTAATAAGCATTATCGCTCGGTTGAGCCTTTAACACTGACATTGTCTATTAAAGGTAGTAACCAATTACGATTACGTTTTCGGTAAGGTAATCTTTAACAAAAAGATACATAGCTTTGATATATTTGCTTAATGTTGTCGACGGAATCTCCCTACCTCTCCTACCTGGGATTCCATCGGAGACTGGTATTTGACTTCGGGAGAGAGTTATCGATACATATATCGTCTTTTCGCATTAAAAGTGTACAATTTCCAAAAATATTAGAAATTGAGTTAATATGCGGAATCATTTGGTATCACCAGTATTTTTCTCATATTTATAAATACTGTCAAAAGAGCGTAGTTTAGTTTTAGTTTTTTTTTTTAGTTTACCTATATTTTGACTACTATTAACAAAATTAATACATCATTTTATCTTACTTTAAAAGACAGATAATATATAGTATAGTATCTGGTAAAAAATAAAGAATTAATGTCGCAAAGATAATTAATATTAAAAATATCATAATATGTCAAACCTTTAAAACGCTCTCCTGTAAAATTAGTGAGTTTTGAGATTATACAGTTTTGATGCAAGAAGACAATATATGGTTTCCATGTCTCTTATGTTCAAATTTATTATTCTCTAGGTATCTGTCATGGCGCGCATGGTTCCATCTCCGGACTGGTTCATCGGCGTGGACAGTTTTGATCTTTGCGTCGACGGCAATTGGCTGGACAGCATAACTATTGAGGTGAGCATGAATATTTGCAGTAATCGAAATATCTGGTAGACAAAGATCCCTAATATCTCTCCTTGTTTTAGTGAATATAATTGAACATTTAGATTTAAATTTTCGCCACCTATAATTGTTGTATTTGCCACCTATTATGTTTGGCAAGTATGTGATAATGTAAGTTTTGCTAACCTAGTAGTAGTACCTTGCTTTTCGGTAACAGATTCTAGCTATTGTACAATTGGGACAGGCGTTAATTATGGGCCTCAATTATTGTTGAAATATCGTTGATTCTCAGAGTCTCAAGGTACTTTGGTTCCTATTATTACAAAACTAAAATACTTTTTTCCCTGCAGGTAGATCCTCTCGATGCTGGCACAGACAACGGCTTTTCGTTTACAGCACCGAATTGGACGACAGCCCCTCAAGGAGTTGCCTATCGCATCACTTCGAAATACCCCTCGCATCCAGCCGGTTCATTTTTCTATCCCCATTTGAGAAGACTACCGCCTATAGCGACCTTTCAGTTCATTAAAGTGAGTGATTTGAAAGTCTAAATATCTTAAAAAGACTTAAAATCTCTTTTTTAAATAAACAAATTTTCGACCACCTTTTTATTAGCTTCACTTGTATCAGATTATTTATACAAATAAATGTAGAAAGTGGAACCTTGGATTTGTGGTATTGTTGCAACTTAGTATTGGTAACACTTTGTGGTATTGTTGCCGTGTTAGAAATCGATAAGAAAATATACAGAGAAGAATATCCTTAAAAGAATAAACACGTGTCCATTATTAATTTAAAAAAAAATCTTAGGCTTTTATTAAATTTGTAATGAAACGCCATAGCATCTTGCAGACGAATCTAAGCTATGATACCCTAAATCTCGCCTGTCAATAAATCTATTAATCTATTCATTTACATATTTTTTTTAATATCTCTCCTAGCAGATACCGGAGATGAGCATTACAATAGAATTAAAAAAGATTTAGTTGTTTTAGTTTTTGCGCGAAACAAAAAATATATGTTGGATTTTGAGTGTTTTCGTCTAGGGACTATTTTTAAGAGCCAGTTTTACGCCATGTTGAATTGTTCACTGGTTATAGAATCCCATTAGCTCACAGATATCATGAAATCAGTGAGGACTGTGACGTTGTGACGTGAATGTGATGATACATGAAGTTAGAGCCTCTATTTTAGTGTGCAGCGGATCTCTCAAATCAGAACGGATGATTGCTTCGCGGCTGAGATAGACAGGGTAGAGGTACCTACCCGTGTGGGGTCAGAATAACCCCAGCCATTAGCTCTAAGTAGTCACCACGTTTGTCTGATTTTATTGACAGTTGCAGGCACTTCACGTGTGGTTAAGGTACCATTAATTTGTGTTTAATATACCCCACTAGTCACAGCGAAGCTTATTTATCATCATCATCATAATCGGTTGCTCTTGGCAGAGCAGTCGTGGTCATGTGGAATTCTAACTTATTAAAGCCTTGACTGATGTTTTCCATAGTTTGCGAACCGAGGCCCGGCGCACACACTCGTTAAGTGGGGTTTCAGTAAGGTCTTTCACCTGATCAGCCCAGCGCATGGGGATTCGAGATCAAATCGAGATCGACACGAGATCTCTTACCATTGACCCTACCTTGTTTATATAAATAGCAAAATCAAAATATTCCGCTCCTCGGAAAAGTCCTACTGATCTCTGTCTTCGTTCTCAGCTTCGGGAATACGAATTAACAGAAGTATTCCATCGAACGAGCGACGATAAAAAATACGACGTTCTACAACTCGACAAGATGAGTCACAACAATATTGACGTGCTCGATGGGAACAGGGCGCTCTCTGTCGCAGAGGAAGTGGAACGAGCCGAGCAAGCACCCAGGATATACGTTGACGGCGCTTTAACCACACCCGATGGGGCTTATTCATATTACACTATGTAAGTTAAAATCTCTTTCCTCGTACACTGTGCTAGATCACTGTGCTAGGCTATGTAGGTAGAAGAGGCCATGGCCCATAAAGCGTTGAACTAAGCCTACAGACAAAGCAAATGCTGTCATTCATCATGGGACATAAGGTCGATTTTTTTTACATTTTTTTTGTTGATGCTTAGATGGGTGGACGAGCTCACAGCCCACCTGATGTTAAGTGGTTACTGGAGCTCACACACACCTACAACGTAAATGCGCCACCCACCTTGAAATACAAGTTCCAAGGTCTCAGTATAGTTATAACGGCTGCCCTATCCTTCAAACCGAAACACATTACTGCTTCACGTCAGAAATAGGCAAGATGGTGGTACCTACCCGGGCGGACTCACAAGAGGTCCTACCACCAGTAGAGTGTGGCGAGGCTTGTGGCATGTTCACCAGCTTAAGTCTGTAATATAGAAGATTACGAATGTCCTTTGATTTGCGTTCACGAACAAAACGCTCTTCTAGTGTCAATTCATCGAGTACCACCGAGGAGCCTCGATCAGCGAACGAGTTGCCCACGTCTGGACCGACCGCGAGTGAGCGCTCGGCTTTGCGAAGTCTGGCGCGCCGGGCCCGAGCGCGGAGGCGACGCAAGCTCCGGGCTGACAATACTGACCCCGCCGAGCGGAGACGACGGAAAAGGACAAGTAAGTCATGTATCGAAGGGTGAAAGGCAGTCGAAAGATATTTCGACTTTTGCCAAAGGCCGGTTTTGCTTTGAAATTTTATAATGTTTTAAATAAATTGCAATACATTATAAGCACGAATATGAAAAATTGTGAGTTAGGTCGCTTTTGCGCAGACCACCACAATTGTAATTAAAGGGCCCTTTTATTTGGTATTAGTATCAATAATTCTTTATTTTTAATTTAATTTAAATTGAGTTTACTCCATTTAAATAGGTATGTAACTGAAGTTTTTTTTGGTTATGATATTTTTTTCAAATTTCAAACTTTAAATGTCTCTCCTGTAATGCTGCAAAAATGTCGCTTAAACCAAATAGCCTTTCATCCTCGACGTAAGTATATGAAATACGCGACAATTAATGACTTGTCCACCTGATGGTTGTCTGGAAGAGATGATTCTTAACGATAAAATCGTCTATTGGGCTTTTTGCATTTTTATTTGTTTAGCTGTACAACAAACCGTACTCTCTCTCCCTCTCTCTCTCTTTCTCTCTCGGTTGTGTTCGTATTTCATGGTTCAAGAATAAAGCTTATTTTAAGATCATTCAATGTAACCTGTAAATAACACATTCGGTCTCGTCAACAGGGTTGCTAAGCTGCCGGGTGTCAGATTGGAGCGAGTGGAGCGCTTGCCGCAGCGACGGCGGTTGCGTCGGCTCGGCGATGCGCACGCGGCGGATCATACGTCGGCAGCGGCCCGGCGGCGCGCCCTGCCCGCCCACCGCCCAGTCGAGGTGGTGCGCCACCAACTGCACCGCCCACAGCGACGAAGACTGGCGGAACAACCTTACGTAATTCATAGATCAAATTCATTGATGAACTGTACCGTATGTTTACAATACTTGAGGTTTCGCAAGACCTATTAATACAAATCACTATCAAAGCTTAATCGAAGCTTAAGATTTGTATAAACTCTTCCATAATAATCCTTGGAGTACCGACGACGGTCATTGCTAAGAAAAGAGAACTCATCTTGTCATCAAGATGACTTCTCTTTTATATTTGTTAAGCCTTGTATTAACCTCGGTTTCATCTATGAATTGATATATGTGCAGATGACTACGATAGCATTGTTTAATGCGGAAGCATTTAGGTTTTACTTGAACGTAAACAATTCATATTTTATTTTACTAAACTAATTATGCTCATCTATATTTTTCAGTGGGCGCTTAATATTGAACTGAATAGTGCTAATAAGTTACAAAAGTTTTTGACCTCGAATAAAATAAATACCATGTAGAAACGTCTCATTTGATTGAGATCCTAGATTATATACCAAATTGTTTCTAAAAAGTTTTATTTTTTGTTAAGTATTTACGTTACCTCATACTTTGTCATTTATTACATGTTGAACATAATCTTAGAATGTTGGGAGACTGGCAGGCGGAGTAATAATATCACAAATATGTACTTCTTCAGTCTTCGAATTCTCAGAAGAGGAGAACTTTATCGGATACTATTTGTTGAAACATTCTTGTTTATCGAGAGATTTTGTTATCATAAGATCAACAAGTGACAGTAATTATTCCAATAAGCGCATTGGATATTATTTGTTTAAGATATTTTTAATACATGCTTTATTTGAACTAGATTAATGCACGTTTTTTTTTAAGTTTGAAACCTGTGTCTGTCCGTCCAGTGACCTTATTTTCAATTAACACACTTTTACTTTTCAATTTACAAAAATTCGTTGTGATCTGTCATGTGTAAAAATGTATTGTAAAAAAATTTAATTAGACAAAAAAAAAATACATTCATTTCAAATTTTGACTTTACTTTCGCTGTATCTATTCGAGCTTCTAATGTATTTTATTTGTCAATTAATTGTTGATTAGACGTGATTAGATATTAGGATAGTGACAGTGTTAATAATTTTCTAGTTTTTTAACACGAAATTGGCCAAATACCTTATCGGAACAGCGTTTAAAAGACGTTAGTAGAAAATCATCTTTATGCACTAGAATATTATTTCCTTTTTCGTTCACATGACCCAAATAAACTTTTTTAGAGTAAACAAAAGTGAGAAAAGCAGTGTTTAATCTAAATTCATCTTCAATTGAATTGCAATGGAGAAATAACTACAGAATTACACTGCAGAAAACAAGAACGATGCTTTGCATTTTTTTTGCCGCGTACACTGTTCCATTGTTTTACCTCTTTAAAATTCTTTAGTTCAGGATAAGTGACTAGTGGACTGTTTTAATTCTACAATTATTTCTTTTTACCTAAATTCCCGTAGAGACTGATGTCGCGACGGCTAGAACAAAAATTTTGCTAGTGCGTAATTAAAATGACACAGTCCTCTTATGAACGGGGGAAATTCAATTAGATTATCAAATACATATCGTTTACTTTAGTATTTATTCGTGACAGTTCAATAATGTAGTTCCATTTAGACTGTGTTATAGGAATCCAAAGATGCAGCTTTTAATTTTAAGACGGTTAATTGTAAAATTTTAATGTAAGTAAATTAGATACGTTTAAAATAGATTGCGAAGCCTTCTGCGAGAATTGGGTTCTCGTTTTTAAATAATAATAATGATTGGTTGTTGACGAACCGATGCGAAGTTTGTCGGATGTTACAGAAATCGTGTGTGATTTCTTCGAAATTTGTATAATTAATGTACGATTCATGAAAATCTTTCCTCTTCGCGATTTACGACCCTTATTGAAAATTAGAATATTTTTTTCTATCTAAAAGTCGCTTTCAATGCCAAAGAAAAATAAATTAGGCTTACCGTTGAAATGATTCTTCTCCCTTTTAGGTATAAATCAAATCAATGGTTTGTTCACACTCACCTACAACTAATCCTACGTTTGTCGTTATTTTAAATTGAAAAAAGATAAAATAATATAAATTTGAGTGAGAACGTACCAAAACGTTAAATAACATATTTTTTAAATGTAGAAACGTCGTCTAAAACATTTAGTTTTAAATTAAAGATCTAACTTAAATTTAAAATGAATGTAAAGTCGAGCCAATTCACCTGAAATGTAACATTAGCATATAAAAAAAACTATGGAGTATTTTTTACAATGTAAATTATTCTGATTTCATTAATAAAACATCTCAATAAACAAAAGCATTCGTGTTTAATTGTAATGCCAACTTTGATTATTTCACAGCCGGTATTTTAAAGAGACAATTAGTCGCCATCTTTAATTTTTTTTTGCAGCCATTCAAATGTCAATATTACGCAATACATTTGCTCTTTTGTTTGCTTATATGAGTAAACCTAGAGGAGTCACTTATGATGGTCGTAAATTGACGGAATTTATGGTATTATATTGATAAGTATATTGCCATCGTAGGCAAACAAGCATATGACCCACTTTTTTGCCCTGCCTGTGCTGATAGTATTAAGAGATTATTTCAGCTTCACCCTAACGTGTAGGTGAGCTCACGGGGCTCAAACCGGATGTGTTGCTAACACTGGCCCTAGCAAAAGCAGTGCTTCGCGGAATCTACCACCGGATCGGAACGCGACCCACTGCGAAGATACGGCGAGAAACTTAGTGGGCTGTGTCTATTGGTTACTTTACTCGTCGAGCCCTTCTTCGACGGTTTCGGCGAGGACGGTGACCGGTGCTTGAGGTACCTAAAAGCACCGTTAATGGATCGGGAGGATCCGTAATGATGTGTCAACGACCCCCTGCTGGTAAACAGTCACTGGCACTCGTAGAAAACGAAATGAAAATTAAACTCGTCTCGCAATATATTTTTTGTCTTGGAAATAGAAAAGATTCTAGAACAAAATTAATCTGTCAATTTGTAACGGCCCTCGACAACTTCATCCCAAGCTTTGGTCCATTAGTTCGTTCTTAATCGTAAAGACGATAAAATAACAGATCTCATGGTAAAAGCATTGCAAATAATTATTATTGAAATAAATTTGATACGTAATGATACATGTATACCATTTTATGGTACTAAAGTTAAATCTTTTTGTAAGCATGAAGGCGTGGGTGTTTGAAAATATATTATACCCTTTCTTTTTTATCTATTAACGACTCTTCTACTAATATCGGTAAAGAAGCGGGGAAAAAAATCTTTTGCTTTTCATCTCTTCTTAGCGCCTCACATACGCTTTGTTATTACTGTCGAGTAACTAAAAAAAACCTGTCCTAATAATTAAATTCCAAAAACACAAGCGTATAAAATTACACGTCTTAATAACAAGGAAAAAAGCTCTAAGTTTAATGAAACGAGGAAAGGAGCAGCAGCCAAATTCGTAATCAAGAAAAAAAAAAATAGGTTAGTTACATGCAAATTAAGTACTTCTTGTTTCACAGACATCTTGCTCCGCTGTCGGTAAAAATAGACCGTATAATTACGTAATCCGGTGACTTTAAGATGAGTATTTTATCTCCAAAAAAAGCTTAGCGTAAACTTAAGTTATGATACACGTTATGTAAGAATGTATTCTAAGCGTTATCTGTAGCCAGATTTCATTATTACTCAAACACACGTAGATTATTTAAACACGCATCTAAATAACAATGGTTTGTCCATGTTCAGTGAATGACCCGGGCTGGTATCTTAGAACGTAAAGGCTTAGACTTAAAGAGAGGTAACATTCTCATAAAGTACTACTGTGTGGGTAACATTAAGTACTTATATAGCTAGCTACATATATTACTGGTAGTAGAACGCTTTACTGGTGGAGGGTGGTAGGACGTCTTGTGAATTCGCACGGGTAGGTACTACCATCCCGCCTATTTTTGCCGTGAAGCAGTAATGCGTTTCGGTTTGAAGGGTGGGGCAGCCGTTGTGACTATACTTGAGACCTTAGAACTTATATCTCGAGATAAGTGGCGCATTTACGTTGTAGATGTCTATGGGTTCCAGTAACCTCTTAACACCATGTGGGCTGTGAGCTGGTCTACCCATCTAAGCAATAGAAGGGTGGTGCAGCCGTTGCACTGTAGAAACTGGCACCTTTGAACTCTCATCTTAAGGTAGAGATGTCTATGGGCTCCGGTGGGCCGTGAGCTCGTCCACCCATCAAGCAATAATTTTTTTTTTTTAAAAACCCCTAGCGATCACATGTCCTGGTCTGGATACCGAGCAGTCGTTATTCCAATGGATCTCTGACGTCGATAATACAGTTAATGTACATATTTACAGGGCTTAGTAGCGAGAAACATCCATAGTCTAACATAACTATGTATTTTTTAAAAGAAATCTTCTTTAACATCACTGTGGTTTGAAACTCGATGTAACGAAAAAAACTTCAGAGGTGTCAAGGGACACCCGGATGGAACGAAGTTCCTTTCGATCAATTAGTGAAGGAATTGTAATTTTTTTTTTAAAGTTATAATAATAAATTACGGCATTATGAAGAAGAAAAAAACAATACTATGAACTAAATTACTATTGTTGAAACGCTATCTCGAGAAACTGTACTCATTACGCGGACCAATCGGATACGAGCAATGTCACGCGATAAGCGCCTACACGTTGATTGGTCAGAATGACGGATCCAAAAAGTGTCGTGACAACTTTTCGTAAGAATTTTTTCCGTCTAGCCCCCTTTCACAACGAGCGATAAGGAACTTCGTTCCAAAAACGACATTAAAAAGAGACAAACATATACGTTCATAGAATTCATTTTTTATAGTCTGTGAGAGAATGTAATAGAATAATTCTGAAGGTTTTACTTCACATTGAAAGAAATCAATGGTCCACCTGGTGTCATGTGGTTACCGGATCCTATAGATAGACTGACTCGGTGGAGCAGTAGTTAGCGCTTCTTCTGACTCTCGCGTCGAGGGTCATGGGTTTGATTCCCACATCGGACAAACATTCGTGTTAGGAACGTATTTTTTCTTTTATAAAAAAAAAGTGTTGGAAGTCTCAATCGTATTGTATAATGACTATCTCTCCATTTAACTAGGATATGATTAAGTCCTCGGCTGAATCTAATTGCACAGGAAAGTGCAATTAAAAACAAGTTATAGGTATCAGATGTATATTTCTGTGCTGAAGGAACAAAACGCCTAATAAATCTAACTCGCCTTTTTTATTGCTTAGATGGGTGGGCGAGCTCACAGCCCACCTGGTGTTAAGTGATTACTG